AGGCCTTTCACACCCCGCCTCAACCAGTCATTGAATGCCACCTGTCCTGAGAGGTGACTTTGGGCAAAATGTCTCTATTCAGCTGAGGAAGCTTCCAGAGAAAACTCCCACCAGCTGCGGGATTGAATTCTTCAGTCCTGAGGAGGCACATGGCAAGTGAATGGCAGTGTCCTCTACATTCCCCTTCTTGTATCCCTGGCATCACTTACTTGTGTAAGTGCTCAGTGCAGGTCTTCTGGGTTCTGATGGGCGTCTGTTTCCGAGGGAAGCTTCTACAGAGAGGAGTGGAACAAAATACAGACTCCACCACTGCAGGTGACCTGGAGTGCCAACTATACTTACAGACTCCTGCTTCTGCTTTGCAAACACAGATTCTTCTTAGTTAGTGCTGCTGCTATTTCTTAACATAGAGGGAAGTATTGTTACACTTAGAAGGGCAGAAGAACCCTGGCTGGTGTGGCTCAAGGGATTGAGTGCCAGCCTACAAAACAATGGGCCGCCGGTTTGATTCCCAGTCAGGGCACAGGCCCGGGTTGTGGGCCAGGTCCCCAGTGGGGGGTGCATGAGAGGCAACCACACATTGAAGTTTTTCTCCCTTTCTCTTTCCCTTCCCCTGTCTCTAAAAATAAATAAATAAAAATCTTAAAAAAAAAAAAGAAGGGCCGAAGAGTGGGTGGACACTGTGCAAGTGCAGACAGTAAGTATAGGTTATAGTTTCAAGATATTTACGGGCAATGACAGGAGAAAAATAATTTGGTACAGTAGTATGGTAAAGAGACTTCTTTATTTAAGCTGGAAGGATCTTGAGAATGCTTGTAGAAGGGGGTGGAGGGGAGTCAGAATGAGAAAATAATGAAGAAAATAGGGATAGCTTAAGGAGCAACTTTTAATTTTTATTTATTTATTTATTTTTAAAGATTTTATTTATTTATTTTTAGAAAGATGAAGGGAAGGAGAAAAAAGGGAGAGAAACGTCAATGTGTGATTTCCTCTCACAAGCCCCCCCCCCACCGCTACCCCCACTCTGGGGACCTGGCTTGCAACCCAGGCATGTGCGCCGACCAGGAACTGAACCAGCAACCCTTTGGTTTATAGAGCGGCACTCAATCCACTGAACCACACCAGCCGTGGCAGGAGCAACTTTTTTAAAAAAGCAAGAGGGGATGGGGTCTTGTATACAGTATGGTATGCAGTGTATTCAAGGGAGATTAACCTATGGTAAGGAAGAGGTTAGTACTAGCAAGTTTATGGGTAAACTTAGCAGCTGAAGAAAGGCAAGGTGAGACTGTATCTGGTGGCCACTAATTTTTATATGATGCATGGATCAGTGTTACTAGCCAAATGAAGAGGCTAAAGTAGAAGTAGGGCTAAGAAAGTTTGACTTAATCAGGAACTATGGTGGGTGTCACAGTAGGGGTAAATGGGATTTTAAGAAGAAAGATCTGGCATCCTTTGAAGGATGGGCTTGAATAGGGTGGCAGTAGAGACAGAACATTTAGGAACATTCAGGACTATAGTGGAAATGATGCAAGAGACGCAAATAAGCATAACAGATTGAATTAATAAACACTGGAACAAAAACACTCTCTGGGGAATTATAATTTAATAACAATAAATGATCCAGATCTGTGGAAGCTTAAAAACTAGGAACTGCAATACCATAGTCCCTACCCTTGAGATTAAACCTGAGGCCCTGGCCACTCGGTTGGTCGCAGTGCTGTCTGATGAATTGAAAAGTTGTGGTTTGATTCCCAGTCAGGGCACAAGCTTAGGTGGCGGGTTCAGTCCCCAGTCGGCACATGTGAGAGGCAACTGGTGAATGTTTCCTTCTCACACTGCTGTTTCTTTCCCTCTGTCTCTCCCTCCCTTCCCCTTGCTCTAAAATCAATGATCATGTCCTCAGGTAAGGATTAAAATCTGCCTCTTAAAAAAGAAAGAAATTAAAATCTGGGGATAGAGCTCCAGAAATGTAGTCATTTGCCAATTAAGGTCAGGGAATCATTCTGAGAAATGCATCATTAGGTGATTTCATCGTTAAGTGAACACTATAGACACACTTACACAAACCTAGACGGGACAAGTCTACTATACACCCAGGCTATGTGGTATAGCCTATTGCTCCTAGGTTACAAGCCCATGTAGGATGTCATTGTACAAAACTACATGAAATTTAATCACGCACAAGAGAAAATGATGCAATCAATAGACAGTAATCATGAGATGTACGAGGCTGCTGCCAGTGTAACAAGGCATAGTGTTTACAGCAAACTTAAACATATATATATATATATGTTTATTGATCTTAGCGAGAGAGAAAGAGGAAGGGAGGGAGAGGGAGAGAGAGAAACATTGATATGAGAAACATTGATCCATTGCCTCCTGCATGTAAACCAATGGGGGATGGAACCTGCAACCTACATATGTGCCCCGACAGGGAATCGAACCCCAACCTTTTGGGGTACTGGGCAACATTCCAACCAACTGAGCCACACTGGCTAGGGCAAACTTTTCTTTCTTGATAAATAGAAAGAGTACACTAAATTAATGAAAGAAAGTATAGTGTAATAAATACATAAACCAGTAACAGTCCTTTCTTATCATTACCAAGTATTAGGTACCATACATAATTGTGTTATACTTCTTTTTTAAAATTTTTTTTTAAATTTTATTTTAATCATTGTTCAAGTACAGTTTTCTCCCTTTTACTCCCATTCCAGCCCACCCACCCACCCCTCCCCACTTCCCTCCCATTACCACCCACCCCTAGTTTTTGTCCATGTGTCCTTTAAATTTGTTCCTGTAAACCCCACCCATTCCCCCCTAAAATTCCCTCTTCTCTCCCCTCTGGTCACTGTCAGTCTGTCCTCTATTTCAGTGTCTTTGGTTATATTTTGCTTGTTTCTTTGTTTTGTTGTTTAGGTTCCTGTTAAAGGTGATATGTGGTATTTGTCTTTCACTGTCTGGCTTGTTTCGCTTAGCATAATGCTTTCCAGCTCCATCCATGCTGTCGCAAAGGGTAGGAGTTCCTTCTTTCTTTCTGCTGCATAGAATTCCATTGTGTAAATGTACAATAGCTTTTTGATCCATTCATTTACTGATGGGCATCTAGGTTGCTTCCAGCACCTAGCTATTGTAAATTGTGCTGCTATGAACATTGGGGTGCATAGGTTCTTTTGAATTGGTGTTTTAGTGTTCTTAGGATAGAGTCCCAGCAGTGGAATTGCAGGGTCAAAAGGCAGATCCATTTTTAGTTTTCTGAGGAAGTTCAAAAATATGGAACGCTTCACAAATTTGCGTGTCATCCTTGCGCAGGGGCCATGCTAATCTTCTCTGTATCGTTCCAATTTTAGTATATGTGCTGCCGAAGCGAGCACGTGTTATACTTCTATAAGACTGCCAGTGCAGTAGGTTTGCTTACACCAGCATCACCACAAACACTTGAGTAATGTGTGGTGCTACGGCATTATGAAAACTACCATGCCACTAGGTGACAGAAATTTTTCAGCTCCACTAAAATCATATGGAACCACTGTCATGTATGTGGTCAGGCTATGACCAAAATATCACTGTAGAGTGCATGAATGTAGGACAGTGGGAGGAGCTGGCCTAGCAGGGTGTGAAGACAAGATGAGGCCGACTGTCCAGGGAACAAGGCTGATGGCAAGCCCCAGCCAACAGCTGGAAATGGAGAGGGGTTTCTTGAACTGACTACAGATGTAGGCATTAGAGAGAGAGGGATAATGCTATGAGTTACTAAAAGAATTTGTGACAATTACTTCAAGAATATTTGTGATTAATATTCAAGAAATATTAGTATCTAGGTGGCCTCTAAAACTTCCTATTAAGACTTTTCTTTTTAGTGTTAACAGGCCCCTTTTGAAAAATGGAGGGAAAGTTTTGAATCCTCTTCTCAAAAAATTAATGAATTAACATACACAAAATATTCTCCCTAATTTTAGGGAGTCCATGAACTTCTGAAACCCATGCATGGGCTCCAAGTATTGCTCTCGCCTGTCTTTCTTCCCAAGAAACAGCCCAACTCTTAGGCCTATTTCACAATATAGTAAGTTTGTTAGACCAGAAGCTGCTTCTTGAAGCGGGTGGATTTGTAGATGCTATTACACATTCTTTATATTTTGCCAAGTATAAAGACGTGAATAATGGGACGGAAGATGATCTTTAAGTAGGCTGCTATGAAAAAAAGCTACAAATAATGGTTTCTGACCACAGACATAGCTGAATCATTCAGCAAATATTTACTGGGAGTCTGATACAGGGACTGTGCCGGAACTGAGCTCACCAAGATAAAAAAGACACCATTTGTGTCCCTGATGAGATGATTCACAGGTAAAAACGTGAATGTAGTTATTGGGGGCCTTAACAAAATGTCGCCTAAAATTGAGAGGCATTCCTGGGTGATGGAAAGGGCTCTAGGTGGCAATGTGATTTCCGGTTTCTCTACATCCTAGACTTGTGAGCTTGGTAAAGCATGGTACTCAATCTCAAACTGCTTCATCCATCAAGTATAAGAAAATTGTTACAAATCTTCATAAAGACAACCTTTGCAAAGATAAACACAGACAAATGGGAAAACGCAAGTACGAGGTTTACTGAAGGTGCTAGTTGGGAGGATCGCTCCTTGAGGGAGCAGGCTGCCCATTTCAAGTTTCTGCAGCCAAGGCGGCGCCTCGCACGCGGTCCCAATTCCTTCCATAAGCCTTCCGGGATAGATCAGGTTCCGCTTCCGCAGGCAGATTTTTCAGGGTCGGCAGGAGAGCCAGAAGCCCCAAGCTGACTAGACTCGGACAGTCCTTCCGCGCATGCTCCGAAGGAGAGGCGGAGAGCGGAAGTGCGTGGGCGTGGCGAGTTGCGGCGGACCGCCTCTTCGCTTTCCCTTCAGCCGCGCGCGGTGGGCGGGGGCGCGCGCGCGCTCGTTCGCGCTGCCGACTGCGTACAGTAGTGACGGCCGCGCGGGAGCCGTCACATGACCGTAGCGGCTGCCTGTACAGTAAGGGCCCAATATGGCAGCGGCGGTAGCAGTGGCAACGGCAGCAGGAGGACCGGCCGCCTCATAGACGCCCTCCCTACCCCCCCGCGCACCACCCCCGCCGCTTCCTCTGTTTGGGTGCTCCTCCGGCCTGACTTCCCCTTTCTCCCACCTTTCCCGGCACCGCGGGAAAAACAGCGCAGGGCAGAGTAGGGAGGGAGGGCGGCCGGAGCCCGGACACGGGAGCCTCCCAGTCAGTTCAAGACCCGACATGAGGGAAAAGGGCCGTAGGAAGAAGGGCAGGACCTGGGCGGAGGCCGCCAAGACGGTAAGGGGGCAAGAGCGAAGGGGAAGGCTGGGAGGATTTTGTTCCCTCGCCAACCTCCGGTCGCAGGGGAAGGGAGGTCATTGGCCCAGCGACCCGGCTGAGGGGGCACAAAATCGCGCCGAGAGGCGGCTGTTAGTGTCGGCTTGTGATCCTTGTGCGAATGGAGGCGCCCGGCGGAAAGAGGGTCGCCGCGGGGCTGTGGCTTCTCCTTGCGATTGCAACGAGTCCTCTAGGTGTTCTGGCGCTACGTTTCGGGGTCACGTCGCTCTCACCCCACTCTGCGGTAGCCCCCGCCCCGGCTTGGGGAAGTGTGTTGTGCCTGCCCAGTAACCGGTTCTTCTCCCTTGTGCGGCTGAAGAGCCCCCATTGGATGCACACAGGAGAGGGCTCGTGCGTGCACCCAGCCCCGGAAAGAAGAGGGGAGCGCAGGAGCCGGGCAGAATTTGCCGGCTGCAGCAGCCCGGCCGCTTGACCTCGGGCCCCTTGCTCGTCTGGGCTCCCGGAACCGGCGTGAGGTCACGGGGCTCTTGTTTTTGTTTGCTGTTGGAGCCGAAAGTGCAGGAGGTGTTTAGAAACCAAGTAACAGGTGGGACTTGTAGAATTTTTTTTTCTGTTTCCGTAGAGACCTACTCTGAACAAGGCAGCAATGCATGGCGGGACGTGTAGTTTACCCGGCTTTGAGTTTTCCATAGCTAAAGTGATGGTGGCCTCACGAAGTTGTACTTTGTGGGTAAAGCCATCATCCACCCCCCCCAATTTTGTTATAACGAAGTTTAGAAGTAGGACTATTTAAGATGGGTGAGAACTTTGTTTTAAGAAAAAATTAAAAGCGTTTATTTACGTAGAAATGAGGGGGCAGCAGAAGAGTAATAGGACCTAAAACAGCAGCATTATAGTGTTGGGAAGGGAGAAGGAGTGGAGGTATTTATTATCTTTAATGGCGAATCATCTCAGTAATACTCGCACAGCGTGGAGAGCCCTTCTAAATGAACCTTTAGTATATTATGTTTGGTTTATTATTAAATGAGATTTTTTTCGAATATAAAAATAAATGTTCACTGTGGGAAAATTTGGAAGATTATAGAAACGTAAAAGGAAAAGAATAAGAAATCTTGTATTTCTCCCCTCAGCTGTATCTGTTAACGTTTTGGTGTGTTAGGGAGTTGATGAGTCTTAAACTTGTATTCGTTTCCGTTGGAAATGTGAAAAAGTAAATGAAAGCATATTTTATTTAGTGTTTTCACTTACACTATATCTTCATAATTGTGACTGCTGGTAGTTTCCCTTTAAAAGATTAAAAAAACTATAGAAATAATTTTTTGGTTGGGAAATTGCCCCTTCCCAGAAGATTGTTTTCCCTTCTGCTTGATGAATACCTCAAGACTTCTTCCTTTTATTAAAAGAAGGATGGTAAATTTTAATTATTGGTAAACAGACCTCAAACCTAATTATGTTAATTAATTTTAAGTCTCTAGAATCTTAGTATGTTTCCAATCATTGAGAGATTATGACAAATAGAAATTTGCATCTGTTTATATTTTCTTAAGATGAATTAATATGTTTGAGCATTTATAATAAACATTTCATGCCCTACCTAGCTGTGTGAAAAATGGTATTTTAAAGGTGTAAAGATGAGTTTAATTAGAGTTCTGAGTGGGTTCCTGAAGGGATCAGTATATTAGTGGCTTGGTGTTTTTATGTGATTCTGGCAAATGCACAAGGCCTCAGTCTGAATAAAGATGAATTTTAGAAAGAGAATGGTGACACTAAAACTTTTTTTTTTTTTTCCGGTAGCCAAAATCTAGAAAATACCATCCCCTTTTTTTTTGTTTGTTTTATCACATATAAAGTGAGGAATTAAACTAAACCTCAGTGTTCAAGAGGTTTCTGTTTGTAAGAGGATTAGAAGTAAATGTAGGAGTAATAAACAAAAGTAAATCTTTAATATTTCAGACTGTAAATAATATCAGAAAATTGGTGATTTGACAAATGGAAGTGACTTTGACCTAAATTAAGAAATAGTGCATACGGTATATTTATAAGATCAAGAAGACTAGGAGAAGGAAGTTTGAAACTTATTGAGGTCAAATGTTCTAGGAACAGAGTTTCAGCAAGGAAATACTAAAATTGTTTATGGATACAGGCAATATTTGCTTCTTATTTTAGCGTGTTCTTGGTACCTGCATTGTAGAGTTGTCCTCTTTTAGTGAGCACTGTTAAAATGGGGTTGTATTCCTGACCAATAATGGAGCAACAGATAAGTAAAATTAATTATATATGTATGTATACATATGTGATAATGGGTGTGTGTGTGTGGATTTGTGTGAGAGCTACATGGATTAATGTAAGGTTGCTGTGAACAATCTGAAAAGAAACAAAATAAGTTTCATAACTGTTATATAATAATGTAAAATTATGCCCTTGTGCCAAAAGGCTGATTAAATGTATAGACTGGTTCCAAACTAAGTACACCAGACAGAGGGATAACGGAGTCTTTCTGCTGATCTTATTTATATTTGCATTATACAAATATACTAGTTATAAAATGCATTATTCAGATATTTAGTTAACAGTCTCCCTTTTTAAATTTTAAGGGTGACAGTGATGGTTGTGATAAAATGATTTGGGTGAGAGATCTGTAGTAGTTTGGTGTTTGGTGCAGTTTAAATAGAAAAATTTCTAGTAAGCCAGAGATATTGAGAACCATTACACTTGACTCTAATGTTTAAAGCTATGCTCATTCTTTTTTTTTTCTCACTGTACTTTTTAAAAAAAATTTTTGTTGTATTTTTTTCATTACCACTTAATCCTCTTATACCTCGCTCCTTCCTGCAATCACCACACTATTGTCCAGGTCCATGAGTCCCTTTTCCTTTTTCCTCAATCCCTCCACCTCTATACCCTCCCCACCTTAGCTGCCATCCTGCTCTCTATCTATGAGTCTGTCTCTATTTCTCTTATTAGTTTACTTTGTTCATTAGATTCCACATATGAGTGAAATCTTGGGGTATTTGTCTCTCTGACTGGCTTCTTTCACTTAGCATAATGTTCTCCAGGTCCATCCATGCTGTCGAAAAGGGTGAACTTTTTTTCTTTTTTACTTTTTTACAGCCAAATAGTATTCTACTGACTCTAATGTTCAAAGTTATGCTCATTAAATGAAAAAGACATATTATCATCTAAATATTTGATGACATCCCTGAAGAATTTAGCTGTTTTGCAAAGCAGAGCTTTTGAAATAGTATAATGTTGTTGACCCTGGGTTTTTTGACTTTTCTCTTGTCACCTACCACAACTAGGGAAGCATTAAAAGAGAAAAATAACCTAAGAGGATTAGCTTTGTTGTGATCATAGGTAGAAGGGACAGAGACACAGACCTTGGAGACTGTATACTAGAGGTCCCCTTGGGTATCTTGTGAGTCAAGTGGTTGAAGTATGAGAAGTGAAGTATGGGTGTTAGAATTGAGGAGCACAGCATCTGTAGGTAGATCTTTTAAAAAAACATCCTTACCTGAGGATATGTTTATTGATTTTAGAGAGAAAAAGGGTGAGAAAGAGAAACATCAGTGTGAGAGTGAAACAGCAATCATTGCCTCCTATACATGCCCCTACTAGAGACTGAACCTGCAACCTTCTGGTGCATGGGACAGAGCTCAAACCAACTAAGCACCCAGCCAGGGCTGTAGAGATCTTTAGCATATGGTTTGTAGATTGAAGAAAAAGTGGTTTGATTTCTGGATGGTAATTATATAGACTTCACTTACATGTTAATATTATTTTGAATATTCATAGATTTTTTATGTTTATCATTTACCTAAAGTTATTTAACTTTGGAGAATAAGATGGAACATAGAAAATTTCTGTTGAAGGAGTAAGACCCATAGGCTAATTTCTTTTATGTAGGAAGTATGGGAAATTGAAAATAATTAAAAGTATAATGATAAAAATATATGATTAGAAAGATGTTTAGAAAAACATCTTAACAAATACACGTTAAAAAAGTAAATGTATTAACTTAGAAATTTTCAGTTCTCTTAATCTTTGCCACGAGTAACTTTTTTCTTAAAAAAGGCCAGGGTTGGTTATGGTGGCTTGGATACATATTGATAAGGGCCAGGGTTCTCTTAATCTGTATTTGTATCATATTTGTAGTTATATTAGAATGCCCAGGACAGACTGTGTGTCTTGGAAAAACATATTAAGCAAACCTATTTTTTTGTAATAATAGACTATAGAAAGTAAAACTGGACAAAATCTTGGTTTGTGGAGTTCATAAAAAATAGTGTGAGGAAACTTTGCAAGGGGCATGGGTTAAAAATTGAGAAACTGCTCTGATCTATAATATTAAAAACAATAGCTGCATGTTTTATTTCAGCTTTATTAAGGTACAATTTACATAAAATTGTAAGATATTTCACACATTTGTGCTAGGTGATTTGATGTAACACTTTTTTGAGTGATCTTATTGTAATGAAGTAAAGTTTCTATGGGTTTTGCTTCTTAAATTTTGTGTTGTTATTTTCAGTTAATCTTTCTTCTGTCCTGCTTTTATGTTTCACAAACCTTCTAACTCCTTGAAGAAGAAGAAAATAAAAAATAATTTATTATTATTATTTTTTTGAACACAAGTTTAACTTTTTTGTGAAAGGTGTTGCTGCTGCTGCATCTCCTAGAATTCTGACAGGAGCTGAGAAAATATCAGATTAGCAGAAGTCCTTGCTATTTCATCCTCCACATAGTCTATCCACCCTTAAAAGGCTGTGCAATATTGCTGTCGGTGAAAGGGCATTGTGTTTTCACTACAAAAACTGTCTGGAAGGAGGCCAATATGTGGAAGATAAAATTACAGTGAACTGACCAGTGGGGTTTGCTGAAACTTGCTATTTTTGTCCTTTTTACAAAAGACCTCTGAACGTTCCTCTAGTTCTATATTTTTTCTTTCCATATCTCAGAGGCTATCCTCATAGTTTGTAGTTTTGTGCAATTTAGTATTTTTGGTA